CTGTAACAAGCGAAATCAAATCCCAAAGGATCCAAAGCTGTATTCTGCTCACGAGTAGCAGTGCTTTAACTAGTTCTCACTGCCTTCAATTAAAAAAACCCGAAGAATCTACACATACCCTTTTACAGTAAGACACCACTTGATGTGAGGACAGGCATCACAACTGGCTGTTTGCAAATGGTGGGAGCCTGCCTTGCACTACAGCAGGAACTGAGAGACAGTGAGGTTGTATCTGTCTAAAAGACGTGTGCAAGTCACAAAACAAAAAACCTTTCCCCCTGCCGCCCCTCTGTTCCTTCCAGCAGAGTCACAAGCTATTGGGATCTGTGGTAATTAACTCAGCATCACCACTGATATCTGAGGGATTTTAGAGAAAAGAGACAAAGAGGAGCCAAGGCAGGGCAAGAGTAAAATATTAGTAGTTTAGCTTAGAAACAGCTCAAGTTAGAGCATGAAATACAACCATCTAGACATCAAAAGGTTGCAAATTCCCCTGGAAACAAACCATCTACAGACACTGTATTAGAACTAGCAGCTACCAAAGTAAGTTTGCAAAACTGAGTAACAAGCAGTGTATCCAACGGGAAGCTTGTCTGTGGGAAGTTAAACATGGAGCAGCAGCAAACCCACTGATCTGCACAGCGCTTTCCACAGATGCTATTGAACACCGAACGCTCCCTTTCTTGGAAGGGCTTGAACTGCATAACCTATTTACAGATTCTCTGGCAAAAATAACCTGTAGGTCAGCTGAAAACCAAGAAAATGACGGGACACTGCTGAGACATCACCAGTTACAGAACTAAGACAGAGTAAGAGCTGAAACCTTTAAAAGCAGACACGAGTGGAGGCTTCTGCAGTCCCTTCAATTTGCAGCTGCTGTTTAAGCACACACACTTGCTGTGCGCACATACTCTTGGAAATGTATACAGTGTGCTGGCACAACAGCAGCACCACTGTAAACTGCAGCATTCTGCATGGTAGCAGCAATTTTCTTTTGCTTCTCGACAAAGTTTAACCTTTTGCCCGTATCAGATGCACCGTACCTTAATGGATTGTGCTCTTACACACTATAAAGAGAAAAACCTGCTTTAAAATGGAAGGATATTTTCAAACAGTTAGAACATTTTGTAAGTTTGTGGTTTCGTTTCTGCCTTAGGTGGAATGTTGCAATGTTCTGCACAGAAATCATCATATTAAAAGGTGTTTGAGAGCCTGGTATAAGACACAATGACAGAGTAACATGTTTTTCCTTCAAAACACAATTTGGTATTAAAATAAACCCGCCCTACAGCTTCACACAAAATTCCACGAAGCATATAAAAATATCTCTGTGGGGAAGGAAATTAGTTTATAGGTGTAAAGGCAGCAGAAGCGAGCAAATCTTTTTGCAAAAATTGTTTTATTAACCAATCCACTACATTGACTACTATCAAACTATAAAGGTTCAAAGCAATACCTTAACCAACATACACAGTTAGGCAGAATAAATACTCGGGTTTCAGCTACGCCCAGGCAAGAAACTAAGTGCACAGCACAGAACAATCGCATACCTGGATCCATTACAAACCACACAAAAACATAGCTACATTCCAAAAAAGGTCTCTCTAAAAAAAAAAAAAAAAAAGCATAGCCCTGCAATCCGTATCAAAGCCTCCTGGACATTTTTTATGCCTTCTAGCCCAAAGTTTCCCACATCACATGTATGCTGTAAGCCCTTACAGCACCTCCATCCTTACTTCGATCTCTTATACTTCTCTGAAATCCCAGCTGGGAATCCTTGTTCAGCCCCATGCCCCACACTTTGGTGATGTCCGTGGTATTAGAGGACAGCAGCGTGAATCCATAACCGCAGGCAGCAGAGGATATCTTTGAAAACAAACAAACCCCACACCATTCAGTTATAAACCGTGGCTTAGAACAACAAGTGTCACCCCACGTTATTCTTTCATCAGCATTCCTCCTTCGTCAGGTCATATCCAAATACAGCCCAAATTCACGGTACATACAGTCTTCACAAAAACTATCAGAAACACTGTTCAGTGATAAGCACAAGGGTGTAAACTCAAGTCCAACATTACTGCCCTAGAATTTCCATTTTGTGAGTGCACATCTTTATTGGACTGATTTAAACACAACAGGAAGACCTATTTGCTGACCTACAGCAGCAGATTAATAAAAAACCCCAAACCATATAGAAATATTAAGAGAATTACATTCCACTGCTTTACTTCTTTTGCCAAAAAAAACCCCAAAAAAGTAACAGCTCTGACCTTCTTTGAGCAGAGCATGATGTCTGAAACGTGGACAAAAGAATAACATGATTTTCAACACAAGCTTCCCATTTTGCCAGGGTGAAAGCAGCCTTGAAAGCCACTGAAAACGAGGCCTTATTTCTCTGATAAATGCCGCGCACACTCTTGCTCTCTTACAGCTCTGACAAAAAAATACAGATCTGTATTTTCAGAATTACGTGCTGCTGTAGTTCTACCAAAGGCCATCCTGATGAATACCGCTGCATCAATTAAGAAAACAAATCACGGGAGAGTCTTTAAACCAGATTAGTTAACGCCTTTCAAAGCTGAAACCTAGCAGAGGCAGGAGAGCCGCGCCGGTGGGAGACG